GAGTTATGGGGCATCTCTGAGGCACGGGGAATCTATGAAGGTCTGTGAGGAATGGAGCGTGTCTGAGGAACGGGGCATCTGTGAGGGTCTGTGAGGCACGAGGTGTCTCTGAGGAACGGAGAATCTATGAGGGTCTGTGAGGAATGGGGCATCTCTGAGGAATGGGGCATCTGTGAGGGTCTGTGAGGAACGGGGCATCTGTGAGGAATGGGGCATCTCTGAGGAACGGGGCATCTGTGAGGAATGGCGCGTCTCTGAGGAACAGGGCATCTGTGAGTTATGGGGCGTCTCTGAGGAACAGGGAATCTATGAAGGTCTGTGAGGAATGGGGCGTGTCTGAGGAACGGGGCATCTGTGAGGGTCTGTGAGGCACGAGGCGTCTCTGAGGAACGGAGAATCTATGAGGGTCTGTGAGGAATGGGGCATCTCTGAGGAATGGGGCATCTGTGAGGAATGGGGTGTCTGTGAGGGTCTGTGAGGAACGGGGCATCTGTGAGGAATGGGGGCTTCTGTGAGGAATGGGGCTTCTCTGAGGAACGGGGCATCTGTGAGGGTCTGTGAGGAATGGGGCATCTGTGAGGAATGGAGCGTCTCTGAGGAACGGGGCATCTGTGAGTTATGGGGAGTCTCTGATGAACGGGGCATCTTTGAGGGTCTGTGAGGAACGGGGCATCTGTGAGGAATGGAGCATCTCTGAGGAACGGGGGCTTCTGTGAGGAATGGGGCTTCTCTGAGGAACGGGGCATCTGTGAGGAATGGAGCGTCTCTGAGGAACGGGGCATCTATGAGTTATGGGGAGTCTCTGATGAACGGGACATCTTTGAGGGTCTGTGAGGAATGGGGCATCTCTAGGAATGGGGCATCTGTGAGGGTCTGTGAGGAATGGGGCGTCTCTAGGAACGGGGCATCTGTGAGGGTCTGTGAGGAATGGGGCGTCTCTAGGAACGGGGCATCTGTGAGGGTCTGTGAGGAATGGGGCATCTCTAGGAATGGGGCATCTGTGAGGGTCTGTGAGGAATGGGGCGTCTCTAGGAACGGGGCATCTGTGAGGAATGGGGCGTCTCTAGGAATGGGGCATCTGTGAGGGTCTGTGAAGAATGGGGCATCTCTAGGAACGGGGCATCTGTGAGGGTCTGTGAGGAATGGGGCATCTGTGAGGAATAAAGCATCTCTGAGGATCGGGGCATCTGTGAGGGTCTGTGAGGAACGGGGCATCTCTGAGGAACGGGGCATCTGTGAGGGTCTCTGAGGAACGGGGCATCTGTGAGGAACTTGGTGTCTGTGAGGGTCTGTGAGGAATGGGGCATCTGTGGGGGTCTGTGAGGAATGGGGCATCTCAAGGAATAGGGCATTTGTGAGGAATGGGACATCTGTGAGGAACGGGGTGTCTGTGAGGAACGGTGTGCCTGTGAGGGTCTATGAGGGATGGGGCATCTCTGAGGAATGGGGGCATCTGTGAGGATTGGAGTGTCTGTGAGGAATGCGATGTCAGTGAGGAATGGGGCATCTGTGAGTGTCTGTGAGGAATGGGGCATCTGTGAGTGTCTATGAGGAATGGGGCATCTGTGAAGAATGGGGCATCTGTAAAGTTCTGTGAGGAACGGGGTGTGTGTAAGGAACGAGGCGTCTGTGAGGGTCTGTGAGCAATGGGGTATCCATGAGGAATGGGGCATTTGTGAGAAACGCGGCATCTATGAGGGTCTGTGAGTAACGTGCCTTCACCAGAACCTTGTCTCCCAGCACCCTGAGTTTGGATTTCCCAACCTCTAGTACTATGAGAAATACATTTTTGTTGTTATTTATTTTCCTTCTCTAAAAATTTATTTTTGAGACAAGGTCTTGCTATGCTGCCCATGCTGGAGGAGTGGTGTGAACATGGCTCACTGCCACCTTGGCCTTCCATATCAAAGCAATCCTCCTGCCTGAGCCTCCCCAGTAGCTGGGACCACAGGCTCACATCTGTGGCTAACTCCCTGGCTAAGTTTTTAAATATTTAGTAGAGACGGGGTCTCCCTATGTTGCCCAGGCTGGTCTCAAACTCCTGAACTCAAGTGATCCTCCCACTGGCCTCTCAAAGTACCAGGATTACAGTACTTTCAGCCTCCTTTTCATTTTTTAAATAATTTTTTTGTAGAGATAGATTCTCACTATGTTGCCCAGGCTCGTCTCCTGGCCTCAAGGGATCCTCCCACTTCAGCCTCCTAAAGTGTTGGGATTACAGATGAGAGCCGTTGCGCTTCACCCAAGCTTCTGCTGTTTAGAAGCCACCCACTCCACACTACTTTCTTATAGCAGCCCAGTGGGACCCAGGCACCCTCTGACTGACCCCCTCTGGAGTCCACTCCACTGTCTGGCCACAGCCGTGGGGGCTGCAGCTGAGGTGGCCCTCTTGCTAGGTGTGAAGTGAGACTTCTTTGTGGCCATGGCGTCGGTGTACTGGGAGGGCACAGGAGGCTGTCCAGCTGTGGACACCGGCTCAGAAATTCACAGGGCATCTCTGCCACATTGTCTGGCCCAAGCAAGTCTCCAGGCCAGGCGGGGCCAAGAGCCTACCTCACAGTGCAGTGCCCAGGGGCACGGATGAGGCAGTGTGACTCATGGGAACGTTGTTATGGTAAGGGACATCTAGGGTGAGCAGAAAGCAATTGATTTATTGATTTGTTTGGAGTCAGCCATGTTCCTCTGGCTTTCTAGAGCGTCCCTTTAAAACAAGCCAGGTCTGTGCCTAGAGCTACATTCGGCCGCAAAAGGCAGCTTGCTGGAATTTGTTCCACACCTTGCGCAGCATCTGTGTTTCGGCTCCACCTCTTCCAGAGCCACCAGCGCTGTCTGCGGGGACTGGGGTTTGGGACGGGAGCTCACATCCTCTGTCTCCTCTGGCCGGGCCTGGGGTCCCCACCTGCAGCCATGGTCCAGGCACCACGTGTGACTCTGTCGGGAGATCATAGACGCCACTCAGTGTCAACACACTTTGGGGCTTTGAGCCGGGACCAGCTCCTGACTTGGAAGTAGTGCTGGAAGGTGGGCAGTGAGGCTGAGGGGCCCCAGGTCACCAGCTACTCTCAGCCAGGACCAGGACCCCCGAGAGCTACTGAGGGCCACCTGGGTCAGGTGGTGTCTGTGGCAGGCGGTGGGGGGCGGGGATGAGGAAGGGGATGTCCTTAGGTGAGCCCCTAATTTATAACTGCAGAAACCCAGGGAGGGGCCAGAGGTGGCCCAAGACCCATGTCTCCACTCTGTGAGGCCTGGCCAGAGCAGGGCACTGAGCTGGGTGGGCACAAGGACTGAGAGTGCCTGCTGTGTTCCCATGGGACACTGCTGTATTGTATTCAGTTCATTCTTTAGACATGACTACAGAGACTCTATCTAAAGTGGTTCTACCACTTGCTCTCGGGTCATGCCTGCCTCCCTTCATCCAGACCCCTCGGCACCACCTACTACGGGAAGCCCTCCCTGACCTCCACCACAGGGTGACCTGCTCTGGGCCCTCATACGACCCTATGAGATCAGTGCCCTCGCACTGCACACCATACCCAGAGGACGACTTAAAGGGGCTGGAGCTGAGCCCAGTGGATGCAGGGTGGGTGGGGGACCAGCAGTCTGACTGCCTCTGTCAGAGCCTTCCCTTTTCTCGAGTCCTCACCCTGCTCCTGAATGGGCAGATCTAGGCCCCGGACTCTGCCTCCACTTAATAAACATCTGTTTGATAAAAGCAGAAGGTGCCATGAAGGTATTGTTCTGGGGTATCTGAAGCTGGAGCGATGTTTGTGTATTTTATTACTGTCGGCATGGTCCACAGTGCACTCACTGTTTACATGCTCATTAAAGAAAAATGTGCAGTGCCGAAGAAGTAATTGCCTGTGCTACGGTTAAAAACTGCCATCTCTATTTTATTTATTACTATATAGGAAAATGGAGAGGTGCTGCATTTGTAATCTCTAGTTTATTTATGGCTACATAGGAAAATGGAAAGGTGCGGCATAATTTAGTAATTAGAACTACAGGCTTTCGTTTTCTGTAATTGCATGGTTTTATTCAGCAGAACTGTTACTCTCATTTTTTTCTTAGCCCAGGTCCCTTCTGACCTTCTGCAGGATCCTGGGTGAGGACATAGGAACAGGGTCAGCCTAAACCCCATGGCTGCTGAGTCAACCTTCACCCAATGGCTTCTGGGTCGGCCTCCACCCCGTGGCTTCTGGGTCGGCCTCCACCCCGTGGCTGCTGGGTCGGCCTCCACCCCGTGGCTGCTGGGTTGGCCTCCACCCTGTGGTTCCCCGGCCCTACTCAAAGTAGGAGATGGGGAGGGACTCATGTCAGTTAACAGGGAGACAGAGATAGGGGACCTGGGGGCCACCTAATCAAAGACCACTTTTCCCTGGAACCTAAATCCTACCCCCCAAGCAATGGAGGCTGCTGGGCATTCCCGAAAAAGGGGCAGCCACAGTGGCCTCATCCCAGGCTACCCTGCCAGACTGTGTCCTGAGGGCAGTATCATTGACTCAGGTTGTTATGTAGGTGTCCTGACTGTGAACCTCAAGTATAGAGGATGGACGGAGCCATGACTGTCCCGGGTTCCAGCCTCAGCATGGGCTGTGGCGTCAGTCGGGTCCTCCACACTGGCTGGGTGTGGAGGAGGAGGTGGCAGGTGCAGGGGTTGCTGGCGGGGTGTAGAAGAGGAGGTGGCAGGTGTGGGGGTGCTGGTGGAGTGCGGAAGAGGAGGTGGCAGGCGCGGGGGTGCTGGTGGGGTACAGAGGAGGAGGTGGCAGGTGTGGGGGTCCTGGTGGGGTGCAGAGGAGGAGGTGGCGGGTGTGGGGGTGCTGGTGGAGTGCGGAGGAGGAGGTGGCAGGTGTGGGGGTGCTGGTGGGGTACAGAGGTGGAAGTGGCAGGTGGGAATGCTGGGGTTTGGAGGAAGAGGTGGTGGGTGTGGGGGTGCTGGTGGGGTGCAGAGGAGGAGGTGGTGGGTATGGGGGTGCTAGCAGGGTACAGAGGAGGAGGTGGTGGGTGTGGGGGTGCTGGCAGGGTGCAGAGGGGCTGCTGGCAGAAGCAGCTCATTGGACTCCTCAGCCCAGGAGCCAACCGAGATCGCTGCAGAGAACAGGATCCTGGGTCCCTGGGCTGAGGCATGTACACTGCTCACCAGGTGCCCTTCCCAGGACCCTTGACATCTAGGGTCCCAAGGGCTGCCACCCCTCAGCCCTGAGTCTGGGGTTCCATGCCACCCCTATGTCCTCCCAGAGCAGTGTCTGGCTTTTCAGGTCTCACTCTGTGGTCACATCCTTGTGGGTCCTCTGACCCCCACAGCCTCAGCCAGTGCAGCTGTGGTGTCCTTGAGGCTAGACAGGCCAGCCCACTACACCCATGTATTACCAGAAGTCCCTGGCTGCCCCCAGCTGTTGGGAAGAGTGAGTATCTGGGGGTGACTTTCACAAGGCCATGCCAATGGGGACCAAGACAGTGAACTCTGGGGCCTCAGGCCAGGACAAGCGCCCACAGCCTGGGAGCCTGGGACCTGAACCTGGGATAGGGGAAGCTCAGCCGACCTGCAGGTGGCAGCATCCTGGCCCCATGAGGACTCCAGCACAGTCTCCTGCTGTGATGACCCTGAGCCATCCCCGCAACAGCCCCGCCCACTCACCGGACAAGCTCAAGGCACACCTGGCTGGAGACACTCACGGTGAGGCCATCTGTGGCTGATGGGTCTGGGCATGTGGCCTCTGTTCCAGCGTGGATCCACGTGCATTTGTGAAGATTTACTTTTCTCTGAAATAGAAGGAGCTGAGAATTAATGCTCTGGGTGGGTTTTGTCAGTGGAAGTCAACTGTGTCTGACAGCTGTGGCCTCGCAGGGGGTTCTACATCCCTCCCTCTGGAAGCTGTGGGGTCATAGGTCATGGCCAGACCATTTCCCACACTGTGGCAGAAGCTGCCACATTCCTTAGAGCAGGGACGGTGCCTGCTGTGCCGGGGTAGGCAGCACCAAGGTAGGGCCCACAGAGGTAGCAGGGCTGATGTGGCCTGGCCACTGAGGGTGCTATATGGCATGGCTGGGGCTCCCTGGGTCCGCTCGGGGGGGTGCTGGCTCAGAGAGGCTGTGGCGACCATGAGGAGCCTGCTGGGAGGCCCACCCTTGCTAATCAATTGCTATGGTTATGAAACAGAAACTGCGTGAGTGTCAGGAATCCCCTGTCGGCGCCGCCTGTGGGCACCTGTCTTCCGCTCAGCATTGCAAACTGCATGGACTTCTATTTACCCATCAGGATGAGTAATTTACAGGTAAGTCCGTGATGATCCCGAACTACGACTCTTCTTCAGCACCAGTGCATGTTCACTGCGTCACCAAAGGGGACATCAATTAGGTAAGACATGGGGAGAGCGAGGTGTGTCTTAGCGGAACCCCACCTGGCACCTTTGCTGACCGTCTTTTGGTTGATGTGGTGAGTGACAGCCACGGTAGGGCTGGGATTCAACTTTGCAGTGACCTTCCACCTTCCAGGGCCATCTCAAGCCCACCTCACTGCTCCGGCCTCATCCCCCCAGGCCATGGCCGTGACAGGGCTGGCTCTGCTATGTGAGCCCCAGGGAGGACCTAGCAGACACAGCCCATGATGACCACAGTGACATGAAACCCTCATGGTCTTAATGCCCTGAGATTTGGGGCATTTGCTCATCATCAGTAGCTGAGCCCCCACTCATAGCTGATGCTCGTGAAAAGCATTCATGGCTTCACTTCAAGTCTTAGCCTCAGCACGTGCTGGCGAGAGTGTGGAGTCTTAGATTCTCACCATCCCACCTTGGTGGGTCCCCGCTCTCTGCACCAGTTTCTTCATCGGTGAATTTGGGGTGACAACAGCACCCGAGTGAGGTGGAGGATCAAGCAGTTCGACCTGGGAGGCAGTTGGGGCTTTGCCCCAACTGGGACGGTTCCTGCCTATGGACTCTGCTTTTGCCATGAGAATGGCTCCTGGTCACGGAGAGGAAGGCAGACGGGTGGGAAGGGCATGGGAGAGAAAGATAAGGATGGCCATGAGGAGGAGTGTTTCTGCGTCTCATTAACCAGTCCTGACACCTGGTTGTGAGAGGGGCAAACCCACCCGAGCTCCCGTCCCATGTACGTGGTGCCCCTCACAGCTCCAGATGATGCTCTCGCTGCCTCAGCGGAGCCGATTGGCTCCCTACGGCAGAGGGTGCACGTTCCCTTGCCCATGGGGAGGCCGAAGCTGCTGCTTCCAGGGAGAAAGCTTTGGCATCAGATGTGAATGAAGTAAAAGTGACAAGCTTCTAAAAAGGTCACATTCCAGTAGGAGCAATCAAGGGATGGTTTTCCCAGCAATGCCCCTGTGCCCACATGGCCAGATTTGTGCTTTGTACTGGAAATGCCACCTGTGCAGCCTGGCACCCTGGCAGTGACCTCCTCCTCGGCTGGGGACGGAGACCTCTGTCTCTGAGAGCCCAGGCCTCACAGCCTGCAGATGCTGCTGCCTGGAAAAGACCCAGTGTGGGGTGTAGGGGGGTGTAGCTCAGAAGAGGCGGGGTTGGCACTGGGAATGGCGCTGGCCTCTGGGGCAGGGACGTGGATGCCAGATCCCAATGCCAGGGCGTCCTCTGGATAGGCTGTGCAAGAGCAGTCTTGGGATCCATTTTCGGTACCATGAGATGTTTTTATAAGTTTGTGTATGGAAGCATCCAAATTCCTGATTTTCCCCAGGAATAAGAAGAAATCCCAAGGCCCAAGAGAAAGTAAATCCAGAGAGCTCTGCCGGGCTTCCTCTGGGATGACTGCGTTCCCCTCACACCTGACCCTGATGTGGGCTTTTGAAGGCAGTTCACGGTGTCTATGGCTTTTCCAAAAGTTCCAGCTTTTTCTGCCATGTCTGTGCAAGAAATCAGCTGATACTAAAGTCATTGCTGTTAAGAGAATAAAATAAATATTTAAAAAACCTTTTTTTTTTTTTTTGAGACAGAGTCTTGCTCTGTCACCAGGCTAGAGTATAATGGCACAATCTTGGCTCGCTGCAACCTCCACTTCCCGGTTCAAGTGATTCTCCTGCCTCAGCCTCCTGAGTAGCTGAAACTACAGGCGCGCAACACCACGCCCAGCTAACTTGTATTTTTCTAGTAGAGACAGGGTTTCACCATGTTGGCCAGGCTGGTCTCAATCTTCTGACCTTGTGATCCACCTGCCTCAGCCTCCCAAAGTGCTGGGATAACAGGCGTGAGCCACCACACTTGACCCCAGAGAGTACACTTTTAATCTTTACATCTTATGGATTGCAGACATGTTCAGAGCACCATGTTGTGATTGTTGGAAGTGGAGGTGAAAATCAGAAATGACTCCCAGGTCTGTGGGGCCTCATGAATGACCTATGGATTGGAACCTTTGAAAAAAATTGAGGACAAGAATGGAATGATTCTATGGCTCAGGAAGTTTCACATAAGGAAAACTTCACCTCATAGAAAATAAAAGCTCTGCCGAAGCCTTCTAGTTTGCCCTGAATTGAAATACACAGAGCCCTTCCTTAGTCACTATCATCACATGGTGTAATACTGGTGATTTTATATCACTGTGGACCCAGAAACTTATGCACCATTCTAGGGCCATGTGTAAAATATGCAAAACTGCCATCAGTTACTGACCTGTGGACAAAATATCTAGCATCATATTTAAGTGGCTTACATCGTTTAAAAAGATCTTGCAGATTACTCAACAGTTAATGCTTTCATGGAACATTTAGTCTTTGGTCTGCTCATTTTCTTGTAGTGTCTGTGGTATAGACAGAATCAGCCTGTGAAAATAGAGGACACAGGTATTTAAAAAGAAATGCAAGCAAATGTGTTTTCATTTACAGTGAAATATTTAGTAAATATATTTCAAACCTTATTGTGCATACAGATCACTTAAGGATCTTGTTGAAACACAGACGTGGATTCAGTAGATCTGGAGATGCCAAGATTCTGCATTTGTTACAAGCTCCCAGGTAATATCTATGCTGCCCATCCCTAGACCACGCTGTGAGTAGCAAGAATCCAGGTTTTACTCAGGGCACAGTGGCTCATGCCTATAATCCCAGCACTTTGGGAGGCTGAAGCAAGAGGATCGCCTGAGCCCAGGAATTTGAGACCAGCCTGGGCAACACAGTGAGACCCTGTCTCTACCAAAATAAATAAATAAATTAAAGAGGCCAGATATGGTGGCTCATGCCTGTAATCCCAGCACTTTGGGAGGCTGAGGTGGGTGGATCACCTGTGGTCAGGAATTCGAGACCAGCCTAGCCAATATGGTGAAACCCTATCTCTACTAAAAATAAAAAAATTAGCTGGGCGTGGTGGCACACATCTGTAACCACAGCTACTCGAGAGGCTGAGGTAGGAGAATTGCTTGAACCCAGGAGGCAGAGGTTGCAGTGAACTGAGATCTTGCCACTGCATTCCAGCCTGAGCAACAGAGTCAGATTCTGTCACAAAAGAAAGAAAGAAAAGGAAGGAAGGATGGATGGAAGGAAGGAAAAGGAGAAAGAAAGGAAGGAAGGAGGGAAGAAAAGAATCTAGGTTGTAAAAATCAGAGTTAAAACTGAGTTATTATGTGTATATAATTTCTGCCCTTCCTCAAATATCTTACCCTTAAAAATCATTTGTCAAACCAATACAAGGAGTTTCAATTAGCAAAGCTTAAACTCAGTAATTAAACCAACTACAGTGCTAGGGTGAACATCTAAATAAAATGTCCAAGAATGATTGCCAACAACCATTCAAGGATTATACATTTTGCAACTACCATATGTTGAGGGTTTATTGAATACCAGACATCATGCAGAGTTTCTTCTGTGGTCCCCACTATGTTGGAGTCTAAATTCAGGCAAACTAGATACTATAAACAGAGGAAGGGAAGATGCCGCCCATGGGTACTGTTTATTAAGTTCTTACCCTGTGTCAGTCACATTATAGACATTATCTCAGTTAATCCTCACAGTGAAAAGAGGGAAATACTATCATTGTCTCTATCATAACAGGAAGCCAGGATCCAGAGAAGTGAAGCCATTTGCTCAAATTCATAATGTTCTTAAGTGGGAAACCAAGATTTTGAATCCAGAGTCTGTTGACATATTACATAGCGTCTATTGAATTCTGCATCATTTGTAATGAAAACTTAACTCCCAATCCTAAAACAAGGTGAGTAGCAAGCAGAATGGTCTTCAAAATGAAGAAGGAAATTAAGCTTTACTAATATTTGGCATATGATTGACAGGGAGTAAGTATACAGTGTATAAATGAATATGCATACATTTGGGTATATCATTAAACATTCTTTCCTGGTAAGGATGAGACTCCTTATTAAGATCATTTATATGTGAATCTGTGTGTTTGGAAATACTCTAAATGTGATGTTGGTAGAAAGAAAATGTACTAGAATGGATAAAGTGTTAGATATTTATGTCATGGAATATTAGACAACTGTTAAAATGAATACACTTGATTTAGATAAATCTTAAAATGTCAAATTAGAAAAGCAAGGTGCAGAATAATGCATTCAGTGTGATTCCATTCATGTATATTCTGAAAGCATACAAAATAGTATTCTGTGATATTAATTTCCATATATATAAAGGATATAACATTGTGGATAAGATGGGTGCTTGCTAATTTCAGAGTAGTTGTCAACACTGGGAGAACATTAGGGCTATGAGATTAGGAATACTACGAAGGAAGTTCTGAACAAAACATTAACATGTGTTCAGTCTGGGAGATGGGAGTGTGGCTGCTTGCTAGCTTATTCAATGAATCTCCATTCTTTCTGTTCATAATATTTCATAAAAATCAAATCAATGAAATGTGCTAAATGGGGGGATGGAGCAGAACAGATCCTGGAGGATCTGTTAGGTTTATAAGTGTGGGAAGGGTGCAGAAAATTTACTTACTTGGGACCCCGGAAGTAAGGAGAGCCAAAAACACCATGTTCAAGTGAGAAGCAGAGGTTGCAGCCAAGACTAAACTGCCACTGCTGCTTCTTGGTATCCACTGATGGGGCTCTCTGTCTTTGTGGTAACTGCATCATTATGAGCAGAACCGCATGCAAATGAAGAGTAATCATGAGCAACATGACAGGTTATCCTGTGAACCTCATGTTGGAGGACTTAAGGTGAGTTTGAGAGGAATGTGAAAGAATGACAAAAACTGAACTCACAGGGGCTAGCTGGGTCAGTGGTTCTTAACCCCAGGTGCAGATAAGCAACACCCAGACTACTTAAGTTGTCTGACCCCTCCACAGACCAACTGAATCAGTAGTATCTCTGAGGCTGGACACCGGGCTTAGACATCTAATGTAGAATCCCTTTTTTATGGCTGAGTAGTATTCCATAGTATAAATATACCACATTTTAAAAATTCACTTACTGGTTGGTAGAATTCATACATGCAACCAAAAACCAAAATAAAAAATAAAATACATAGAGTTCATTAGCTGATTCCAAAGCGCAACCTGAGCTGAGATGGGTGAAGTATGTGTTTCCCAAGGTGCCATAACCATGAGTTTTGTCTGTCTTTATGCCTCCTGGCTCGGTAACAACCAATATAACTTGTGTTTGCAAACACAGGTTGCTTCACATGCTCTGCTGGTTACCTTTTCTGCTTAGATACAAACCTCAGTGGGAAATGGGGCGTAGAGTCAATGGGCTTAAGGAAATCATATGATATGGGAACCAGGTCTTTAAAATTAGGAAACAAAGGTCTTGAAAGAAGAAATGCCTTGTCCCAAAGACACACGGCTGATTAGTAGTAGGTCCAGGATTTAAACACTAATTTTCTGACATTATCTTGAAATTAAAGAAAGTTTTATTAAGAAGGGTTTATTTTCCTCAGCTGATACTATTAACCTGCACCGACTTACGTATGAAGGCATTGCTGATTTGGACCTTCTTTTGAGCGCCAATTTATAATTATCCTAATTGTATGGAAAGGAGAGCTTTCCAAACATGTGAAGGGTCATAAAAACATCTTGTTCAGTTAACTAAGTATTCCCACTATGGTCTTGTTTTTAACAGAAATTTATTTTATTTTCGAGGGAGTGTTTGGTTATTTCTGAAAAGCTCTAAACTACCCTCTAATTGAATGGGTATGCAAAATTAGTAGGGTTCTGAAGGACTCTGGTCTGAAAGAGAGGCTGGGAATGGAGTGGGCTCAATAAAAATCAAGCAATGGAAATAATCATAATAATAGCAAACACTTATGAGCACTTGCTGAGCACTTTTCTTAGTGCTTTAAGTAATAGGGTTGTTGCCAGTTTTAGCAAACAAAAACAGAGCAGGTAAATTTGAATTCCAGCAAACGACAAATAATTTTTTGCCGTAAGCATGTTTCTGTATTTTTATTTGCCAATTCTGTCAGCTCCACTAAGTGAATTAACACCATTTAACCTTTGCAATCCCACATGGTAGATTTAATTAATCACTGATCTTATTTGAGCTCCTTTGCAAATACCTGCTGTGGATTGATATTTAGTGACTGGTAAAGAGTTCGTGCTAGGGTGGGGGTTAGGAGTATCATGGAAGCACCTTCCTTTTGTGGACTCCAGGGATTCTGCATCCTCCATTCAGACTTTGAAAGTCTCCAGGTTGGGTAGGCAGACTACACTAGAGAGGAATTATTAAACCTCAGAATTATTAAAGTCCAATCATTTCCATTCATTTAACGAATATCAACAAAGTGCTGGGTTCTGGGCTAGATCATGGGAAAATAAGGCTGATGGAGATGGACAAAGTCTCTGTCCCCATGGGGCTTATATTCATTCTATCTAAGGCAGGTCCAGATGACGTAGATTCCTCCTGTTAAATATGGTACAGGAACAAAGCCTTAGGTCTTATTGCAACTTGTCCTAAGGCAAAAGGGATCATGGAATGTCCCACTATAACTCCTACTCTGACATAATGTCCAAGCACCACCATTTCTGTGGCAGGTATGTGGGCCACATTGCTGAGATTTGAGACATTTGAGACCATAGACCTTGGTCCCTTGAAACAGGCTCTGGTTAGCTATTCGTTTCAGTTCTCAGCATTCACTAAATACTTTCTAAGATGATAACCATGACTAATATTTAAGAAGCTCTTTTGATGTGCAAAACTCTATAGGAATTACTTCATTTTAGCTTCACAATGAATAGCTGCAAGATTGGATAGGTAGTAAAGGAAGAAACAGAGATTCACCTGCACACAGTCTAACTGTCGTACCCCAGAGCAGTGTTTCTTAACCTTTTTTTTTTTTAATCATCCCTCTAAGAAGCCCTTTAAAACGCATTTTATTAATGGACTCTCTCATATGAAATTTTAATGACGCAGATATACTGTTTATATAGTGTACGTATCTTATGCGTATTTAATGTTTTGGATACATATCTGTGCTTAAACATAAAAAAATAGGCAGCTTTTTCATCCCCAGAACTAATTTCTGCCCCCTTGGAGGCCATAGCACCCCCACTGAGAATACATATCCCAATCACTAGGCTATACCACGTTTCTACACTTCATGGTGTCCTTATGTGCAAAATGCTGGTTTGTTAGTTACTTGCCTGACTCCAGGCAAAATGCCTTGCCCTGCAACATGAGGAAGTTCATATCCTCATTGATACAAACTGTTTCCAAGATTGAAAGAGTGATACGATATTAGCTGGTTCTCCATAAAACATAGCTCCATGTTGTAAACACTTGGGTATAGCCTGGGAGGTAGTACGCCCTGTCTACAAATAACAACAAAAAGCAAGCTAGTATTCTCACCCAAATCTTGTCTCCTACCTGTCTTCGATGAGGAAATCTCTGCTTGTTAACTGTGTGACTTTGGGCTGATCATTATTGTCTCTGAGCCTCAGCTCCCACATCCATAAGATGGGAGTGATGATCATGCTACCCCACAAGGCTGCTGTGTGAATTAAATGAGGTAATGTACATGAAGTGCTTAGTGCAGAGGCCCACACAGAATAAGAGCTCATAGTAGGTTCATATGGTCAAAGCTTGAGTTCCCTGGAAGCAGATGCTAACACGGGTTTGGGCATTGGATCCTGGACAAGGAAGGAGATGAAGGCAAAATGTTTGGTAATGATCACTTATGGAAGAAACGGGAGGAGCCAAGACATGAATTATGATACAGGTTCAAAAAAGCTTGGCCAGCTTGGCCATAAGCTTTGGGGCAAGTAACTCCCATCACGTTGGCCAGCATTAGGCCAACATGGCCTGGCTTATATCTTCCCACCCTATTCAATCACTGAATACCCCAGGAAGGGCATGACCTCTGACCTCTGCTCTCTGCATCTGAATGAAGAGTTGTGGGCTGTCTACCAATCATATTCCCAATAGCTGTGCAGCAACTCCTGCTTTGAAGAATGATCTGAGTGGCACACCTCTACTTATGTGTCTACCAGTCATCATCCTTATCATCATCATCTTCATTGTTATAATAGAAATGTCATGACTATATCATCAAGTTGTCCTCAAGAGAGGTGGAGATGTGCCCGATTTCCCTGCTATCATCTAGCAAGCTTCATCCACTGAGCCGTAGCTCTTTCCCTATATTTGAAGGGCATAAGGACTTCTTGAGTGAGACATGTGACCATAGGGGTCAAACTCATTTCTTCAGAGAGCAGGCCTGCTTTGATGGATTGACAGATAAGGCAAAAAAAAAAAAAGATGAACAAGAAAGGACAGGGACTGCCCTGAGGAGAGTAGGCTTTCCTTGACCTGCTCAGCAAGCTGTCCATATTTCATGGGTCTACTAATGTCAGTACAACCCACAGACTGGGACTTTAATGGATGTCTCTTGCTGGTGCCTGAAAATTGCAAGCTGCCTGGGACTCACTCTCTTGCCATTTCCTGTCATGGAAATATTGACTGAAACCCTTCTTCTAACACACACACATACACCACACACACATGCACACACACACACATATACAGACATACACAAACCCTGTCTCACATTGGATATAGTCATTCACATACATTTACAGACATACACATAAGTACTTGCAATCAGAGACGAATTTGACATTTATTAAGCATGTACTGCATGCAGAGCCCTGTTGTAATCATGGTGGTTACAACAGTTAACAAAACTGATAAAATGTATACTCATGGAGTATACATGTTGGCTGGAGTGGGGAGAGGGGCAAACATGATGAATGATTAAAA